CCAACCCAAATCTATGATTCTATAACATGGAAATATTGGTATGATAAACAGCAAAACCGACCTCTTGGCTTCCAGCAGCAGTGGCACCACAGGGACTGCTCCTATAAGGAACGTGTTGCCTTGGCAGAGCTGACCAGCCCCAGCCCTCCGTGCCACGTGCACATTTAAGAGTTGTGCCAGGACATTGACTTCTTCCTGGCAGGGCCACGCTTCCCAAATTTCTGAAATGACTGGAATTTCCCCACGGCCGATATAGTATTGTCTATTCTGCAGTAATCCTCACTGGTTTGATACATTTATCGTAAAAGAAGGTTACTAGTCATCATGAAAGCTTTGAAATAGATGACTTTTTTGAGGCCATCTGCTTACCTCCTCCCTTCTCCTTGTCTGCACCTGAAGCAAACAAACAAAAAAAAATTCTTCCATTTGTTGGTTCCTGGAAACATACATCTCTCTGTGCATGTGGGGACAGCCTGATTGCCTGTGCAAAGACAGCCTGATTTAGAGCCCTGTGCAAACCTTGACTAACTTTGAAGGCAGGGTAAAGGACAGGACCAGCAGACGCAGGGAATTGCCATGAGCAACCAAATCTCGAAGTCCCTTATCCTGGTTTCTCTCGCCATTCAAAGTCTGCTAGCTTCTGCACTTAAACATGTATTAGAAAAAAAGTACCTAAAAGCACCTCATTGTGCACAACACTAACCTCCATCAGAGATGTAAAATATCCCTGTTCTGCTCCAAACCCAAGCTCCTTTGCAGTCCAGGTTAAGATGCCTCATTTTGGACCTGCAGACCCTTATACCTCCCAGCCATGAATACATGCACAAATACTCAGCGCCCCAAATACAAGTCGACCAAATATATCAAGCATACATGCACACCTTATCACTCCTACCAGAGCTCTAGATAGAAGCTGTCCTAAACGGTGTGCCCCAAATACCCACCTCATGGTGGAAACTAATCATCTCCCAGTTTGACAGATGAGGAAAGCGAAGCTCCAAGGCAGGTGGCCGAATTGATACCACCCAGGATAATCTACACTAGAACTGGTGTAGGGAGAAAAAAACCACACAGGAAGATCTCTGGTCCCTTTTGTTGGAATTGCCAGACTATTCGTCTTTTGGTGCCACGCCAAAATGCCTCACATCCTGCAAATTTGGATATTGGCAAAGCTAACAAACATCAGAGGCTGCTGCTGAAGATGCTGGTGGCACAACAGACATACTATCAAGCTGCGTGTACATTTGTCCTGGTGCGTTCATATACATCTGTAGTGCTACTACAAAATATCATTACTCAAGCTGGCCAACCTCTCTGCACGAATTGTCACAGGGACAACTGAGGACCGCTGTCCTTCACAGCACACCCTCCTCTGGTCCTACACTTACTAGGGCATCTCCAGCGCAAACAGGCAGTCCGCTCCCACTCGCCCTCTCCCTCACCGGCTCCAAGAAGAGATCGAGGTCGCACACACATGCTTTTCTGCTTACAGAGCATGAGAATGCAAGGGGGATTCCACAAAGGCTGATTTATGGACACGGAACTCCAGACGTGATATAAAACCACCTTTATGCTTTATGGCAGGGAAAAAGGATTTAGGAAGGAGAGAGGAAGGAAAACAGAATCCTCTCTGGTGGTTTTGCTCATTGTCCTTCAAGCAAGCCAAACACACCTACGAAGGCAGATGTTTGAACTACCATCCCTTTGAAGCTCTTTTTCAGCCCAGGACAGGCTAGCAGGCCCTACGTTGTGGGGCAAATGGGCACAAGGAGAAACGCTATTCATACAGCAGCATGTACAAGAAGAGCTAGAGACTCTGTTCAAAGGACACGGAGAGGGTCTGGCAACTGGACCATGGTTTATTTCTGAGAGGGAAAACAGCAGAAAAGCTCTGGTGGAAAAGGTGGGCAGATGGGGATAAGGGACAGGGCTGATGCCTTCTCAGACCATAGACGCTTAGGAGCCAACCTCATGGTTCAGCTCCCAGCCACAGGAAAGCTTCTCAACAGCAATCCCTACTGACGCTAGTGAGGACATTACACCTAAAGACCCAGACATAGCAAAACATTCAGAGTCTCTCACCTGGCCATCCTCATTGCTTTGCAACGTTCCTCGGGCTTAACCAAGAATCCCTTAAAGAAATCCAAACCCTTCCTTTCCTTTCCACATCACAGACCTACTCTCCAGTTGCCTAAGGAGAACGGCACCCATCTAACACCAATTCCCATTGCCAGAGGTGGAGGAAGGCTGCAGAAATACACCTGCCAAGAGGCTGCAGAAGACCGGTCAGCAGGTGTGATGCCTTCACAGAGCCAGGAGCAGAAGCAAGGTAGGATCCTGGAGATGCTCCCTTCTCGCAGGGTGGACAGCGAGGGAGGACAGTCCCTGCCTGGTCTGCCTGTGCCCTCTTGTGGCTGCCTGACCATGCTGCACAGGGTAGGAGCAAACCTCGGGAGAAAAAGAGGAGAGCCTACTCTTCCTTGAAAAGAACGAAGATCCTTGTATTACTTTTTAATACAGACTCTGTAGGATCCTTGAAAAAAAAAAAAAAAAAAATTGATATCCCACAATGGAGACAGCTCTCAATTCAAAATTCGGGTGCTTAACGCAGCACAGCTCAGGAGCCGAAAAGCACAGAGCAACTTTACAGTCACCTGAGCACAAAACAGCCCACGCCGGACCCACCAGGGAAGGGATATGCAGACAGAGCTTTGAGTTTGGCAGGAAGAGGACAGCCCTTCTAATTACTCCATCATCTCTGCCGTTGGCCCTGGCAGCTGCCTGCCATCTCCTCCTTGAAGTCCCCATCCATCCAGAGGAATTTGTTCTGTCTCTGCCGGCAGCTCCCCTCTGCTCACACCCCTGCTCTGCTCCAGCACTGGCGGTGAGGGCACAAGCAGGACGGACAGACACCACCAACTTTGCTCCTGCTTTGTGATCACCAGCTGGTTTCCTTCTCCATGCCCAGATGACTTGTCCTATAAAATGGTAACACCATGTGAAAAACGGTAACACCCTGTGAAAAACGGTAACATCATTTTAGAAAAAGACACAGGACCTTTGGGTAAGCATCACTGCTACCTGTTGGGGTTCTCCACATCCCAGAGGTGGCAGCCCCTTCCTCTGGGCACTTGTTGAAACTGAGCTGCCTCCAGTGCCCTTCTTCTCTCCCTCCCGTGATGTCAGATGCCAATGAGTATGAATCCAGCCGGGGAAAATCTTATGCACCCTCACTGAACAGGCCAGGGAAATCTGAGAGCAGCAGTGAGGGACCACTCATCCCATCAGATGAAGGCAGTAACGCCCACATTTACACAGGAATAGAAAGGGAAGAGGTTGACAGGAAGATTTGGGGGCCTGGCTAAGAGTGTCTCGGGGCACTCTGGGCAGGGAGGACACAGGACCTCAGTTCCTGGCTTTAAACACAGCGTGGAGAAGGTCATGGTGATGTTTCTGTCACACTGTCACAGCAAGCACCAGTGACTGGGTCTCAGGGTTGCATACAAACCAGAAAAAAGGCGAAGGCCTGACCACCCTCACATCAAGCACAAATCCAGAGGAAGCCTGTAGGGGTTCAGTGGTTCGTTGCCCCATGCTGGGGAGAACCTCAGCACTGTGCGCTCACCCTGCCTCACCCAGAGACAAGTTCACCTTTACTGTAAAGAGCAGCCCCAGGTCCCAGAACCAGTATTACCATGAGGTCTAATGCCGTTTTCTGCTCTGGCCGTACCTCTGTTTCACTTCCCAAAGGCCTTTGATGTTTTGCTTTTTCCCTCCGCTGCCATCACCAAGAGATGATGACAAGAGATCTTCCACGGTAATGCCCACAGCTAAACGCGGGAGGAGAGCAAACGATTTTAGTGAAGCCAGAGCGACCCAACTTCCCAACCTGAAGAGTCCGAGAGCTGCTGCTGCTGCAGGGCAGGAACACACTGTGCCCACAACCAGCTAGCATCTCTCACTTGCGCTTGCCTCTGCTGCGGCATGGGGAGCTGCACATGGCCAGGGGAACCCAGCCACCGTCCCCCTTCTCCTTCTATAAAGGACAAGAAAGGGCCTGCAGGAGCTGGATCTACCTTTTGATGAGAAAAGGCAGCCTTTTTCAAACCAAGTTGCAGCTAAAAGCAGGGGGAATTACCTGAACAGCAGGAGCAAGTTCAGTCCCCGGTGCTGCTACGACTCACGCTTGCCAGCTCCTGCCTTTGCGTCCAAAGCCCAAGGCCCCCGTGCAGCCAAGGGAAGACTGGCCAAACAAGAGTCCATGATCCAAAAGTCTCCAGAGAAGAGAAACATTCACTCTACACCACCTAAGGGCCCACTGGTAACGGCAGCTTCCGAAAGGGTCCCACCACAGTTGTGCCTCCACCCGCGGACAGGAAAAGCAGGAGACTGCTCAGCCCTGCAAGGAAAGAGGAAGGAAGAAGATCCTTGAATTAACCAGCCTTTGGGACAGCCAGCACATCCCACGCAATGCTTCAAGCTAGTAAACTGAAGCAGACCGCAACTGAGCGGGAAGAAACCTCAGCCTCCCTCAGCAAGAACCACAGGGGCCTGCCTTGTCGCAAGAAATACCTGTGGAAAAACTCTGCTTGCTACCAAAACGCTGTCACTTAGTCCCCCGGTGAAGTCAGGGAGCAGCCAGCTCCGGGAGGGGCAGACCGATGAAGAAAAGCATTAAAACCCCAGTCCCTTAGAACGCACAGTGGCAAGAGAAGCACAGAGCACAATGCCAGCCAAACTTGACTTTTCTCTTGGCTACCGAGCACACACGCCCCAACCAACCCAACCCTAGAACTGCAATCAGACCTTTAAAGAGGTTAATAGCAAATGTTTATTTTCCTTTATTAAAGAGCAGGGTGCAACCATCCCGCTGTTAACAGAGTGACTTCATATTAATTTACAAATTGTTCTCTCTGCTTTGTTTTAAATGTAAGACAACCTTGTACAATGCACTTCTCTAATTCCTTTCACCTCAAAGTGCTTTACAAAGTGACACCGGGGGGCGGGGGGGAAAATCCCACAAACCAAAACATCTCCTACATAGAGAGATCATCTCATTCCCAGTGCTGCAATGCAGCCACGTCTGTTGTGCAATGTAGCAGCTAATGGCACAGGATGACATGTAGAGATCAAAAGGTCAGGGGGAGCAGATACAAGGAGAAACTACCAGAGAGAGAATTTACCTGAGCTGAAATCTGCAGCTGGGGAAAGACATTTCTATTTTCTCCTCTGGAAAAGCTGATGTCAAATTGCCACAAGTCTGCAGACACCAAAGAGGTGCAGGTTTATCACTAGCTCAAGACCCAGCCAGACTCTTACCCAAAGATGTATTTTCTGGGCTTTTACTCCACATTTTAAACATATTCCTTTGGTGAAGAGTAGCAGATGTACGCGCTCACCTAGCTAGGGTGAGCAGCATGAGTTGGGGCACCCAGCTGTGGGAAGCAAAAGCAGAACTGGGGTGTTAACAACTCGGACTTGCAGGTCAGCCCTTTCTGAGCTGAAGGAGGTGGATTCAAAGCTCGTGTGTATTGTCGGGAACGTGTTCTCCCAGCTCTGGGGATGACGACTCATGTTTCACACAGCTAGTAACCCTTGCCAAGCAATACCGTATGCCAGTATAGCTATAAGGAAAGGACTCCCCTGAGGAGCAACTCGGCAGCATACTGTGTGCACACTGACAGGAAAGCTTGTGCTCATGGGGGTCTTCCACAGACGGTTCCGAGATCTGCTGTGAAGCTGTCCTTGTATTAGGTTCCAAACCAAAAACTTCTGTCTTCCCCGTCTATTACTCCCTCCCCTGGACAAAAACACAGCAGCTCAGTTAATTTTCTTCCACTGAAGATACAGAGTTCCGCCTGTAGCATCTCCCAGGAGAGGATGAAACTTAATGGAGCTGAGGATGGTGACCTGGTTCTGGGCACCAACTTGCCAAGATGGGAGTTACGATGGCGGCAGAGGGACAGGGTGACATGCCAGTCAAGAGTGCAGAAATGCCACGTGAGATGAAACCTCCAGGGTGGGTGGTGGCTGAGCCGATTCCACAGTCACTGAAAAAAAGGCTAAACTGGCTACAAAACACTGTCATGACTTTAACACGGTTCTGTACAGACAAGCCTGGGCCTGAGCTCAAGCTATAGCAGGCCTCTGCTTTCCAAAAGCTTTAGCGACATCCTTCCCAGCACATTTTGAGGCATACGGGAACGGCAGCCACATCCCTCACACGCGCACACAAAGTTGTCTAAAATTTCCTCACTGGGGATGGCAGCCCAGGGGAAGCTGGGTTTCCCAGTGGATGTGCATCTCTAGGTCTGGTGTAATACTGGGGAGGAAATCTCGGGGCCTCAAGACAGTGCCCAGCCTGGGCGTGCTCCTGGAGACAAAGAACCCAGCCTGGGACCGTGGTTTCTATCTAAACAGTGGGAATGGTACTGCCCAAAGCTCCCTCAGAGCAGGAACAGCTCAAAGGCATCTGCTTGTGCGTGAGTTTTGTACCTAGGAGCACCGTAAGGGAGGGACTTCTGCACCAAGGATTGTCACAGGGCACTGCCCGTCAAGGTCCGCATCTGCCTGTGACAACTGCAGCAGATTCTCTAGACCAGGAGAAAACATCCTGCAGACTGCAGCCAAGCTGCGGCCAGCTGTGAGTTACGCGATTTCCCTGCCCGCTTTCTTCTGCCGAAAGCCCCAGGTGCACAGCTCCAGCCCCTGCTCCGGCTGTTCCCCCAGCCTGGATTCCCCAGTGCCAAATCGCAAGCTAAAAAAACAGAAACAAATCCCTCTTTGTGACTCAGCTGGCAGAAAGCTTCTTGCAGGCTCCTTTAAAAGGAGCAAGGAAGTACTTGGAAACAGGCTGTTCATGGCTCTTCATAAGATTATTGTGTGCTGCTGGCATTTACAGGGCCGTTAGGGGAGTAAGTGGTCAGCAGGACCCAGGTGTATGGTTGGGGACAGCACCCTCCACCCTAAAGACTGAGTGGAACAGACGGACAGACAGCCAGCATCTGTCCTGAAAGACTTGCTTACAAAGAAGGTCCAGGACTCCTGAGGCCAGCCCTGTGCAAGGCAGACTATGCCAAAGCAGACTGCATATAAAAACAAAAGTTTAAAAAAAAAACAATGGATATACACTGCATATAGGAGACTCCATAGAGGACAGTCTATAGACGGCCACCCCAGAAGCAGCCAGGGCCAGCCCGGCTCTGAGGGGGTAGCTTGGCAGCTGCATTCCAGTCACAGTTGGGGAAATGGGACAGCTGAAGGTGGAACTTGTGCTTCTTGCTCCTTGATCAGCTTCAGGCAGAGGGAGGGTGGGGAGGGAGCAAGGCCCACTGCAGGAGAGGCACTGCATTCATCTGTTTGGCAGGCTGCGTTTGACAAGCCGTTCATACAGGAGCAGTTTCCTTCCATGCTCAGGCCTCTGCTTACATCTCACTGGGATAAAACCCAAGTTTGGCCAGAGACATCTCCCTCCGGAGCCGCATGACCTCCCAGTACATCAGCTCCACTGCAAAGCAAAACGGGTGTGGGGAAGAGAAGGGGAAAAAAAACACCCAAAATTAGTAAGCAAGGCACAGCTGGACACCACCTCATGTTATGCTGTGCTCTCAGTGCAGCCCAGGCAGGCTCATCCCCAAAGTGAGGGAAGCAGACATGCTGGAGGGTCCAGCAGGACAGGCCCATCAGGTCACCCCTTACCAGCTCCAATCCAGGGCAAAGCTCCCAACAAGCTGATGAGCAAGGAATAGGTGCATCTATTCCTCCTGCTCATGCCTTTCTTTTGTCATTTAACTGTTTCTCAAAGACACAGGGAGTTCAGGGTACCCCGAGCTGGCCCCATTCCTGTCACACTGCATAGGACCTCTTAATTCCTCCCAATGTCCCACAGAAGGTACCCCCCACCGCACCCAGCTACTGTCCCCTCTTACCGTCCTGCCTCACCAAGCCCTGCTGGATATAGCGAATGTATGTGAAAAAGTTGCACACCGCTGTGATCTGAGGGAGAGAGACAAAAAAAAGGAGTCAGCTACAGAACTGCTTTGCCTGTCCAGAGGTTTGCACAGCACCCAGCAGGAGAGCTCTTGGTGTTCATCACCTGAGGAACAGTACTACACACCACCAGGTGGGAAGAGGTAGGACGAAAGGTGGTAAAAAAAAAAAAGTCAGAATTCTGTGCATCTGCAATCCCATCTCAAGATATTGCACAACCCATGAGACACACCGTGCAGGAACTCCAATCTGCTGCAGATTTGAGACGTAAGTGATCACTACCTAATGTGGCAGCCAAGTCTGTGATCTTCCTTCAAAGAGCGCTGCTCTCCGACTGAATGAGACTCTTTAGAGTTGAAGGTTTGGGCAGAAAGCGCGTGTGCAGGGAGGTAAGGGCGTTCACGACACATTGGAGTATTTTGGTGCAAGTGACAAAAATTAGCCAACTTAAGTCCATGCACAAAACCAACTTTTTGTCTCAGGAAGAGTCACATGTTGCAGGATCGGCTCTTCTGATATGCAACTCAGGAAAGCATAAACTTCTAAAATGCTCTGTTGAATCCGGGCCCCAACAGCAACATTAACAAATCGTTCACCTTCTCCCTCCCCTCCAAAGAAAGGACAGCTTGTTCTCATAACCGTTTGAGTCACTGATCTGTACCAGAACAGTAACAAGAGCCAGCATTTAAAGAGCAGAAAATTACTGTGTTTTACAAAGGAGAATTAAAAAATAATAACAAAGCAAAACAATCAAAGCCCTGTACCGAATCAAACCACGGAAAGCAAACACACTGAAGACAGGTTGCCTGAAGGAACCTGTCAGAGTTCCTTCTAAGGAGTTCTCTGACTCCTCCTAAGGCAGAGCACCAGAGCCTGAGGCAGGGCTGGAGACCTGCACCCTAGTCACCGACCAAGAGCCACCCCGACTTCAGGAACAAACTCAAGCCCCACAGGTCTCTGTCAGTTTGAGGGCTGACCCAAGAGCTCTTCCATCTCAGGGCTTGGAACAATTCTGGAGGGCCGAGGTACCCTGAGAAGGTGAAGGACTCACCCTGGCCCTGCAGGATGGTGAAATGTAGTAGTAATTCCCAGAATCCCCCAGCATGATGCGGTGCTTGCAGGTCCTGGCGAGGCCACTCAGAGCACATTTCCTGCAGACAAAGAAAAAACACTTCAGCCTTCAGCAATCTAGTGGCACAGCAGGGCACACAGCAATTCAACAACCTCAAGACTATCCCCAAGAGATGGAAGCGGGAGCTCAGAAGCCAGACGCCGTGTCAGTTCAGCATGAGGAAGAAAAAACCTTGGCTGATATGAACCTTTTGCTCCTTGAAAAATTCCATAAATGGCAAGTTTAGGAGACCTTAGGCTAAATATCTGGAACCATGAATTATTCCATGCCTAAGCAAACCAAGGCTGTACCCTTTCCCTGGCCAAGAGCCCAAGACAAAACCACAGAAAATATTAAAGAGGTGATGCTGGAGCAGAGTACAACAAATGTCATCTGGTCTCTGCACATCTCCTCCATGTTCCAGGCAAGGCTTTTGCTGAAGGAATTCTGCTCAGGTGTATCAGCTTTCCTGATGGGATGCAAACATGCTGGCTGGGAACCAAACCTAGTCTCAAAACAGGTAAATCCAGCATTTGAGCAGAATTTGCTCACGCTGAGAACTCAAAAGCAGCCACACCGCAGCCTTTATGCTAGGCTCCTATTAATTAATTTGGGCCTGATCCGAAGCTACTCTAGTTGAAGCCGCATGAGTGACTTTGTACTAACTTCAGGGGGCTTTGGATAAGGCTTGCAGTTCCTAAGAACAAGGCAGTCCCTTCTTGTGCAGACAGGGAAGAAGCTTGGCTTCACAATTGTAAGGAGATTTCAGAGCGAGTGAAGAAAATCGTCTTTTCAAGACAGCTCAGCTGCCTCTATTTTCTTGCCATTTCCTTCCGCTATTTGCAAGACAAATGGTTCCCAGCACCAGCCAGTTGCCCTTCCCTTTATCACCACTTAAAGCAGTAAAGCAGAATTTTCTGCTGCATAGTCATCACCACGTTCCCCAGAGACTTCGTGTCTGCTGCAAAAAACTGCTCTGTGGGCCACAGAAGATGACAACACACGGGAGCAGATGTTTCAGAGAGCTTCTGAGCATGTCTCTGTGCTTGCTTTCCACTGCTATCAAGGCAAATATTAGCTAAGAGTGGAAGTATGGGCTGTAAGCATTCAGAGGCAATGAGAAGTAATCATTGCTCAAATATTAACACAACTTACGGGGATCAAATCCTCAGAAGGTGCAGGATGACCGATACCTTTGTAAACGGGATACCTTTAAGAGGTCCTAAATTTGAGCATTGCAGCACACTGAAAAAGAGACTCCTGCTGGTCACCCTTGGCTTGGTTGATACCACTTGGTGTAACCCCAGCTATCACAGCTGTAGCTAGAGGTAACCTGAACCACGGCGTTTGGACACCTGCCCTTCAGTGCTCCACACACCCCAGGGCGCTTTGCCTGTAGAGCATCAGAGCAAAATGCTGGCCAGGAGGTACTGAGGACAACCGGCTTTCATGATGGCACGTCTGGCAATGTCACATAGCGGCCAACTCAGTCCCTGCCTGTCTAGACTCCTCAAACTGTTGCACTGAGGTCTGTACAGTAGGGTACAGACAAGCAGGCCTGGTAGGTCCCAGCTTGGGCAGGGACTCCAGCTTTGTCCTTTCTGGTCCACAGCACGTTCCAAAGTTGCCGTAAAAATCAGTGTTTTGCATCTGGGAAACAAAGGGGAACAAATTCCTTTTGGGTCCTTTATTGCCAATAGCAAAATTCCTTACCATCCTGCTGGGTGGAAATTAAACAGGGTTAAAAAGTTAGCTTAGTTCAGCTCTAGCCTCAGAGCTGCTAAATCACACTAAGTTAGTAACTTGTTAATGGATTTGAGATCTTTGATCACCGACTAAAAAATAAATACTTCACTTACGTTACAATTTGTGACCGGAACCCACTGTGAAGACACACACACAAAAAAAAAAATCAAAAGGAAACCAATAAGGATAAACACAGGATGGGTTGTTCTTGGAACAGGCCTGACACATACTCATGGAACAATTTGCCTAGAGATGACTGGTAGGAAACCTGCATGCGAGCAGCATTTACTGTTACAGGAACACCTTCGCTTAGAAAGTGCTCTGCTTGAAGGTAAGGGAGGGAAGAACAAAAAGAGCGAGCCCTGACTGAACTTAAATTCAACAGCTGAATAAAATCCCGTATCTTCGTCTGGAATATCATGTCACTCCTCCGAGTGCTCCTCTTTGAGGCAATCTCAAGTTTGTTTGTCACATCAGATACAGTCACGCGAGATCTGGAGCAGCCATAGCCCCAGTTCCGATGGCAAGGTGACAGCATCAGGTGGGGAAGACGATATGCAGCAAGGGGAGATCTCTTCTGACCTAGCCTCAAACCCACCCGGAGCACCAGCAAGGTCAGGAGTGCAAGGTAAGCTCAAACCTCACAAGATGCAAGAACGTGAGATAACGCAGCTCTGACTCAATCCTTTCACCCTAGGTTATGCACAAACACACCTTCAGAGAACATTAAACAAGTTGCTACCTTAAGGGAAAAAAAAACCAAACCTCTCCCAAGCCAAGGGCACTAACACCTCACTAGGTTATCCCCCAAAACAGTCAACTACAGCACATCAGCTGAGCTGAGCTAATCCTCCTCCTCACGAAAAGAGCTGAGCTGAACTACCACTGGTCATAGGCTCGGTGAACACTGAGCTGAGCCCTTTGAACTGTTCAACTCTGACTGAGCAAGGCCTGGCCAAACTCCACTAGATGTACAAAAAGACCAGTAGCAAGGAGAGGACAAGAGAGCATAAGCACGGTTCCTTACTTCGGCCCACCGCACTCTTCTGCTGACACCTTCACCACGGGCAGTGTCTGGGAAGCAACTGGCTCAATGGTGAGTGTATTCTGCTCCACAGCCACTCGCACCAGCTCCGACAGCTGCGGCAAAGAGAAATGAACACAGATATGAATGTGCAAAGGTCACCTCCATAAAGGTGCAACTTCGGTGCTGCCAGACTGCGCAGTTTTTGTCCTCCTTTTCCAGCACTCACCTCCTGCTTAGTGAAGTCCAGACAAGGTCCTACATCTTCTCGATAAATTCTGTCCAGGAAGGAGCAGGATTTATCCAAAGTTGGAGATTCCTTCCAGGCCTGGAACTCAGCAAATAAAATGGAGTCGACCTGCAGCAAGTGTCCAAGAGGAACGGGAAGGTGGGTGGAGTGAGAGATATCATATCAGAAGGTATATGTTACTATGCAGGTAACCTAAATACGAAACATCTGCTTTGGCATCTAGAAAGGCTCAGACATCACAGAAGTGTCTGAGGGAAGCTGGCTTGCTCCAAGGACCTTTCATCTCCCACCCATCAGCAGTTCTGTGCCAGACTGACACAGCCATACTGGGTTTATTCTGCCAGAAACCTGCAGGCACCTCTCTACCCCATCTTGCTCCAGGACAGGGCAGCAGCTCTGCTGCAGGAAAGCCACCACACAACCACCAAACAGGCCAAGTGGCCACTCAGCCCACGGCAGGAATGACGAGAGCAGCTGAATGGCAAAGCACAGTGGCAATGGCACCCAGGACACAGGAGGCAGAACCCTTCTGTAAGGAAAGGATTGCTACGGAAGAGGACGAATTGGAAAAAGCTATTAACGGACAGCCACCAGCAGGACTACATTCAGTGAGCCCAAGCATGAGCTCGCAGGGTATGCCAGCCCTTTAAAAACCACTCCAAGCCCAGAACTCTGGTGTTTGGGGCGTCGCAGAAGTAATGGGAACGCTGGGCAGCCACACAGGCTTGCAGAAGCAAGCCGACTGCAGGAAAGGAGGTCTCTCAAAGGGAACTCAAAGAGTAGGAACAGCTTTCCCCATTCTAATGTCCGCTCATTGCCTTTTACAGGTGGGCCCGCAAGCATTGTCATTGCTCAGCAGAAAGGGACCCAGGACAGAGCTTGCTCCCATCCCCTGAGCCAGCAGGAAGGTTGTTCCCTCCATCCCTGTCCAGCTGAAAATACTTCAGTCCTGGAGACTCTCTGGGACCTGACGTTTAAACCCCAGACGGATCATTAGCAGAACCACCAACCTGACTGACAGGGCACCTCCTTAAAAGGCCAGCAAATCCTGTTAAAGCTGCTGAAAGGAAAAACAAAACTAAAGAAACCCTGCTGAGCAACACAAAGAACATAAGTGAACAAAGCTGAAAAAGGTCTGGGTTCTAGCACACTCGCTCTATGCTACGGAGACTCCTCACGTGGTACCAGGAGACAGCTTCAGAGCCACAAGACGGAAAAACAAATTGAGAAAAAAAACCACAAAACCAAAACAACAACAAAAAAAATGGAGGTTAGCATAAAAGGAAGCTAGAACTGAAAGGCTGGAAGTGCGAGAGGCAGATGGGTCCCACCCCTCCCCAGTGCTGTCCAGAAAGGTTACCTGCCGCAAGGATGAGGAAGCATCTGCCCCCAAGGCCTGCCAGCCTGGTTCATAGGTGATGTGGATAGCCTTCCCAGGGATGATACAAAGGAGCAGAGAGAGCAGAGCGGGTAACCCAGACTTTGAGGGCAGAGGAAGAGACAGACAGTGAAGGAAAAGGTTTAGAGAGACAAGCAAGAAAGGGAGGTAAAAAACCATGAGACAAAACAGAAGATACAAAGAAAGGCTCAAGTCCGCCCTTCCAGGGAACTAAGCGTGCCGCTCAAGACATCGCAGGGCCACAAGCCCTTTTGACTTCAGCTTGAGGTGCAAAAAGGGAACAGAAATTCTGTCATTTTTAGGCTCGGTTTAAGATGGGGCATGTTTTTTCCATACAGCACCAACTTTCTGAACGCCAGGTTCCCTTTCATCACCTCTCACATAGGCCACTAAGGAATTTGAGAGACAGAAATTAACAAGTTAACAGAAAAACCACCCCACCCTTGATGTATAAAATTATTAGTCACTTTGGAAGCTGTAGCCCTGGGATTTTAAGCCCCAGGATATCTGCACCATGTGGAAATTACCTACACAAAGAAATGACAGGTCGAAATCTTTAACAAGCAAGTCACAAGAGCTAGCATTTCTCTGAAGATCGTCAACACGAGCTTCGCTGAGACTGAGCCAAGAACAGCAAAATGAACTACCCAGTAGGCAAAAGTTATCTCTGCTTACTGTAGGCAGAGGGCAACTTCTACATGGCAGTCAGTGGTTCACCGACCCGGGCTCTCAGTTTGGAGCTCCTCTGTTCTGACTGGAGGAACGGTTAGCACTGGGAGAGGTCACAGGACCTTAAAAAGATTAAAACCTTTTTCTTCCTGGCCCTCAAAGCAGCTTCTAGCTGACTGCATTTGACTGCACCTTCCAGCGTATCTGGACTGTTCCCTGCCTGACCAAGAGAAACCAGTGCATCAGGCCTTCACACTTACTGAACTGATTTTTTCCTTTGGTTTTCTTTCTCACATAGCCTTTGTTCCTCTCTGCCTGTGAACAGTTAAAGATCTTCATCTCTCCTTGCTATTGCTGTCTCAGGACAATGGCTATAGCCAACGTTGCCTGAAGCATTTCATCCAAACTCTAGCAACAAGAGCACTGTGCAGAAGCTGACAAGGCGCATTCACTGAATCCATTGCCAAAACCAGACGTTAGCAGTGTTGCCAGCACTGTCCTGTTTGGTGAGAGTATGAATTTCACAAGTGGACCTTCCGCATACGTTCCCGCACAAGCCAAGTGACCAGGTGCCTCCGTGTTCCCTCAACAATTCTTCATGACAGAGGCCGCAGCTCCCAAAAAATCACTAGGGAGACATATTCCCCCCCCACATTCTCACTCATTTTCATTCTTCCTGACCAAGTGCCATAAGCTGCCTCCTTTTTGCTCCCCAGGACAGCTGTGCACACATCTGGCTAGTGGAAAGTTCCCAGAAAGGTCCTGCTAGCAGGAAGAAGCGTTACTTACACCCACGGTCACAGCAGGTAGGGGACTATCAAAGGATCACCCAAGAGAATTAAACAGGGTTTGTTTGAAAGATACTCACAAATGCTTTGTATGCTCCTCTGCCCAGTTCCTTCCAGTGAGGAAGGAATTAAATATAATTAATTAAATATATGCTCTGCAAAGAGGAAGAACAGTGACACGCCCAAGAACACCGAGTAAGTGACAGAAACTACAAGTCGACGGGGGTGTCCTGGTGTCCAAGCCAAACTAGGTAGAGAGAAGGAACAACAGCAAATCTGGCAAAGATGCAGCAAACGACTGGCTTCTGCTCAGCAACTCCTGACATATCCACTCTCAGCACTGGTAACTCCTGGATCTGTCCATGCCCTCCAGGGATCCCTCAACTGCTTCCTCTAGCAGTTGTCCTGACGCAGCCTTCAACACGCTTCCCAGAAGAGGAAATCTCCACAAATGGAAACCCTCCAGAGCCTGCCTCAGCACAAATTTAGGAAACAAGCCACATTGCTGTGCAAACAGCTTCTCCCAACACTGAAATCACAGAGCTCTCCAGGAAGCCCAAGTCAGAAGCCGCACAGCTCCCTGAGCACGGTCACAGCAGTGGCTGCAAGGCCGATGCAGTGAGTGGCCCTCACCCACCTCTTTGCACTCATGACTGACTGGCTCCGGAGTCACGTTCTGGCTGGCAGCTGAGACCATTGCGCTGCTGGTGCTTTTGTTTCGCCCATGGCCCTTCCTGAAGACAGCTTTAGAAGGGCTCTGGAGCTGAGGGTGCAGCTCCCGGTTCGGAGAGGAAGGTGTGGATGTGATCACCAGCGTCTTCAGAGCTGTGACCTCTGCCTGCAGCATGTCGATCTGAGGAGACAAGGCAAGAGTCAACAGCACCTTCAGCACCTGCTGAGCTCGAGCTTGCTGCACCCCACCAAACACTAAAGCCACGGGGAACCAGCTACAAGCCCAGTCATGAAGCCTTCTCCCCATCCTCTCAAATGCACACCATCACCTGGAATTTTAAACAGGCAGGGCTAAACCGCAGCTATTTGGGAACCCATCCCTCTCCTCCTCAGCCTGAGCACATTTTGCCCCAGGCTCTTTTTAGACCCCAATAACCCAGAAGAAGTTTCTCTCTCCTCAAGAAGGAACCAGCTGAGCAGCCCCGTGATGCAGCCTTGTCAGGAAATTCCAACTCCCCAGCTCCCTGCTCTCTCCATCCCCACAGCTGTGGCAATTAAACAGCGTGTCACTTCTCTGTGGTTCCCCTGGCATCCGTTTCTCAAAGGGGAGCTGGACCAGCAGCAGCCTGCAAGGATGCCTTTTCCCCCTCACTCGGTGTCTGCTGGAGAGGGAACAGAGCAAATGCAGCATCTCAGAGGGACGGAGCTGCAGGCACTTTACTCTCCTCCAGCCAACAAACAGCACCGTGGCCAGGCTGGGCAGGGACGGCACTAACCTAGCACAGAGATCGAGTCACAGAGAGTGCAGTTCTTACCTTCCCCCGTGCCTCCCTCAGCTGTTTCTCTGACGCCGCCTGTTTAGTGTTTGCTTCTCTCACCATCTTGTGCGCTTCCTGGACCAGAGAGAATTTTAGTCTGCCTGTTGCAGCCCCAACTCATAAAGCCACCAGGGCAGGCCAACGCTCTGCCATATTGCATGCTCTGGGCAAGCAAGCGGGGGGACAGACATCACTGCCACATCCAAGGGTTCTACTCTGTCAGCTGTGAAGAGCCTTCCCCCAGGATTTCCCAGTGCCAGAGCCTGGAGTGCATTCCCCCTTCTAGGAGTGTAGTTGGCTAAATTGAAGAGTTTAGCTGGCTGAGTCCAAGGTCATGTCTTTCACTGATATGGGCTGCTGTGAAGAAAGCTAGAAGCAAGGGCCTAACCCTCCTTGCCCTTGGGAATTGCTTTAAAGCTAAGGCTTTAACATTAGCACCCACCCGTGCTACATCACAGCTGTGTAGCAGCTGCGTCTGCGCCCAGTCCAATGCCTCCGTGACTCTGACCTTGACCCAGACTCACAGGCTTGGCTCCCTGACTTGACCTCAGGCCTGCGTTGTCACTGCAGACTTGCTGGTTGATCACTGGACTCTTTTCTGACCCCGATTGCTGTCTGTGGCACAGATCCTGATCCAGACTTGCTGCTCCACGTCTTGGCTCCTCTGTGGTGAGGTCACTGCTCTTGCCTGACTTGTTATTGCACTTTGCTCCCACTTCCCTTGCGGAGCGGCCAGCCCTCACTGCTCTGGGCATGGCTGCAAGACAGCAGGAGCTGTAGCTCAGGTGGGGGCCAAATGGTAAAGGCTAGCTTAAAAGCATCTCCCACGGGAAGAGGAGAGCGGCGTGACTCCCAGCCAGGGCCTCCCCGCAGCACTGTCTGGAAGCAGTCTGTCCAAGGCCGCCAAAGGAAGGGGACAGCCCTCAGCTACATTATCTCTAAGTTTGCCCTGAGCCCAAGCAGCCAAACCTCCAGGAGCGGGATGCTCTCTCACTGATGCTGAGGCCCTCGCACTCAGCACCAGCCTGTGTTCCAAAGGTACAGATGGGCTCTGGCTTTCCTCACCGCCCAGTCAGATCCAGACGTTAGAGCTGCTGGTAAATGGGATTTTGCCAGGATAGAGCTTGGCAAGAATCACGTTACAAAAAAAAAAACCAAAAAACAACCAACAGGCCTTCTGAACACTCACTGGAGCAGAGTATATGAGGACATCCAGCTTGCTCCCACCCCAAGCAAGGGCTGACACGAGCCAGGGAATCGTCTCTATTACACAGCAGCTGCTGCCCAGACTACAGAGCAGGCACGGGAGAGGGACAGGGAGCCACGCTTACCTCCAGCTATGGGCACCCCCACACCTGGTTTTGCTACCAGATGTACAGGCCCATAACTACTGTGCTCTTTATGCCACCCCACAGCTGCTAGAAGGGGAAAGAAAAGCATGCAAATGCTCCCCGGGAGCAGGTACAAGCCCCTGCTCTGAGGCTCTACCTGCAGCACTGCCCAGCTCTGCTTCTCCAAGTGGGAAAGAACAGGGGAAAGGAGGAAACTGTGGAAGGAGATGGCTTGAAGTTCAGGGAAAGCCTGTCTTAAAGGAGTTGGATGTAAGCTTAGCTTAAGAAATGATGGGAAAAGGAAGAGGGTGGTACCTCAAATAGGCTAGCTGTTAACTCCTCTAGTTCCTGCTCCAGTTGTTCTCTGACTTTTGACAATCTCTCACATTCTTTGTCCTTCAGCTTCAGCTCCTGTTGCGGAAATGGAGAGGAACGCGTGAGTTCATAGCGGGCCCCAGTAGTGCTGATGCCTGCCTGCCCCCCCCCACCTGTCAATCACACCATTTCCTCCCCGCCACAGCATGGATCCCCGGCCCAAGACTCCTGTCGCTAAACTCCGTACCACGCTCCGCGTCACCAAAGGCATCCCTCCACAAGCTGTCGCAGGCTTTTCAGGCTGGAATTGCTCATTTGCCATTAGGAAGGAGGCTCCATAGTAAGCACAGCCTGCCTCAAGCTGCTTTCTGCAGCAGGTTTCCAGGACTAATTTGGATGTTGGCATGGACACTTTGGGTCAACCTAGCAACTGATGTCCTGCTCCAAAGCACTTTATGGCCACCTCAGCTCAATCTCTCTCCTCTTCTGCCTGCTCCAGACTGCAGCACAGCCACATTCAGACCCTGATCCCCTCAGCACCACCTCTAGGAAAACCCCCACTGCTCAAATCTGTGCCGCCACGCTCAGGTGTTCTCACAAACTCCGGGCCTTACCTTTTGTGCTTTGTGCAGCTCTTCCTTCAGGAATTCAGACCCCTTTTCACGGATCTCCACTGAAGAGCTGCGTAGCCGTGACACGTTGAGCTGCTCGGTGGACTGGGTCTCATCCACACCTCCAGCATCCTGGCATCCAGTCTCTGACTCCTCCCTGCTGCCTTTGGATGGCATTAGTGTCTTCCAGCGTCCCACAGCTGGTTGCTTCTGGCTGTCTTCCTCAAAACTGGCCTGGCTGCGGGGTACCAGCGCAGTGAAACTTTTTATGGGGGCAATTCACAGCCTTCCTCTAACACTCACGACACATCCACCTCCAGCCTCTCACGGGCACTGAAGCGAGGCAGGGAGGGTGATGGTGCGTGAAGAGGCCAAGACTGGCTTAGAGGACCTGCTTTGTGTCCAGCAGCAGCAGCACCAGTTCCTTTACCCTGCATGCAGGCACTGCCTCCCTACCGAAGTACTTCACCCTTTTGGCATGGATTGCTTCCAGGCCGGCAACAGAAGAGGAGATGACAGTCTAAAATAAAGACTTCGGGGGAAACCTCCACTCCTATCCTAGGATCTTTAAGAATCACACCAAGTCTAGTTTGAGATGCCCAGCTTGCACTGCTTTTAAGAAGGGTTGGTTTCTCAACATTGAGTAGTCCCTCGCAGATAATTCTGAGCACACAAAGCTTAGTAGGCAAAGCAATGCTATTAGTAACTCCTGGTTTTACCCTTCTCAACCAGCATATCCCAGATACTATTAACTCAGGATAAAGCAGGAGAACTAAAGATAGCTGCTCCAGGAATCCCGTTCTTGCCTGCTTTCAGAGAGAAACAGACGGCAGCTGGCTTGTTCCGGACTCCGGTATACACCCAGTAGACCTAAGTTCAGAGACACTGCTTCCCCAACTGAAGGAAAGTAGCAAGAAAAAGCAAGCACAGCTCTCCTATTGCCTAGCAATATACAGACCCTAATCCCCTTCACTGCAAACCCAGCCTTCCTCTCCTCCCCACCCCTGCTTCAGAGGGGAAGGATCTATTTTTAACCTACTGGTTTCCCACCAAAGTCCTCCACAGAGCTGTCTAAAACACTGTATTCCCACTGAGCTGAGATGAAGCCCTATTTTTTAGTTTCAGTGGCTGGCAAGTAGCGATGTACTAGAAAGAGGAAACCAGAAGAGTCACCCAGGACACTGTTCCCCAGTGCTCAGCAGGACTTTGTTAACTGTCAACAGACTAACACAGACCCTGGAAGAGGCTGATGAATTTAGTAGGCTTTGCAGCTGCTGGGGTCTTAGGAGAGGAAAACGTAGGCTTGAGTGCCTGCATGATAGGGCACTGCAACCACAGTGTTGCCTAGAGCGCAGGCATCACCCCTTCTTCATGCATTGAACTGTCCTCACGTGGTCACTGGCCATTTGAAGTCCACGGGAGCGCGATCAAGCCTTGCACACCGTGGAAGCTTTCTATCATGTCCAGCCACTCAGCAGGACACACACACTGCACCACAGATTAACCTGCTGCCAGCTATCTCTGGGTCACAAGCCTTAGCTGAGCTGTGGTGCTGTTCTCTTCCACGCACAGCACCAATCCCTCCTCCCGCACGCCCCTTCTGGCTGCTGCTTCTTGCCCACTACCTCCTCCTGCAGCGAAGCTATCACCTTCTTTTGGTTAGGTTCACTTTCTCTTCTTCCCTGTTCCCAATCTCTGTCCTTTCCTCTCCTGAATTTGCCCTACCTCCTGTACTCCAGCCAGGCCACACTCTTGCCCCTCGCTCTGACTCCAGCCCCATACCGCACGACAGAGCACAGACTGGCCTTATCTCCTCAGCCATCTGCAGCTCCGAAGAGCCTTGCTCTCCCTCATCCCACCCAAACACAAAAAGCAGTCAAACCATGAGGCCCAACTACTGACAGGCCTTTTTCTCCTAGGCTATGCCACCTGGCAACAGCATGGTGCTACCACCTTTTCTACTCAGATTGCTCCCTTTCTGTCCCCCCACCCCAAGCTGTCCATGAGAACAGTTGCCCACAGTCATCTTCCGAAGAGGGAAAGAAGAAGCAGCTACCAGCTAATTCAGCTCAGGTACCACAGGAAAGCATGTGGAAAAGCACACCTGGAAAACTCTCTGAACCCTTGGCAGACGAAGAGCACAGGCTCATCCCTGCTGCCACGCCACGCGGACAGCATTTTGACTACAGAACTGGGGGAGGGGGACATGCAGTCGGTATCACAGATTTTGCTGACCTCTCTGTTGAGCAAGAACAAGCGAAAGCACCAGAAAGACGGTCACACAGCAGTGCTAAGAAGGTAGGAAAGGATAGAAACTATCCTTTGTGTCCCATTGACTTCACCTGGTTTTACTGAACATTCACTGGGAAGATCTCAAAAAGGAGGCTCGTCCTGGTGATACTACTAAATTTGGAAGTGTGAAAAATAACATGAAAGGGTGCCTTGGGGAAAGGGCAAGAAAATAAGATTAGTTTCGGCCAGAGGAAAAAGGACAGACAGTGCCTCCAAGCAAAGATAATTCATCTTGAGCTATTCAGCATGCTGGGACTGCTTGATAAAAAGCGATATGCACGAACATGGAGGGATACGCCTGACTGAGCGAGCCACGACCAACAGGAACTCCCAGACTGGGCAGGCATCTACAGTTTGAGGTGCGAGAGAACGCGCAAGTGCGAACTACACAGTGTCCAGAGCGTGCAGTGCCTGCTCCATCCAGTTAGGCTGCTCTGCTGGCACATTTGGTTAATCAGAGGAAAGGCAGAACTGCACAGAAGAAATAAAATGGTTTAGAAAGGTCAAGACTAGCTAACGCGGATCACTTACCTAAACAGTGACATCGCTAACGGGATGAGGAGGTCTCCAAAGGCTCCAAACACTAAGGAAGGGGAGGGATCGAGCAAGAGAGTGAGTCAAAGGAAGGAATTAAATCCATTACAGGAAGGTGGGGACGTAACGAGACCAATTCATCCCCGAGATCAGGGGAGGTTCTCTGCAATGGATTTGCCAGGGAGCAGAGGAAGCATGCCAAACAGAGAGGTCTGTTCAACAGTTAAACCATTTCTCAACTGGCATAGTGGAAGCCCTCTCTGCTGTGGACTTTTGAGATTAGACAGGGTAAGGTGCAGAGAACATGTTTCTCCAGGTTCTCCTGCATTAGAGCGGAAACACACCAGAAGGGCCCCAGCCAGTCCCAGCACCTCCAGCTTCTGTGATCAGAAAGGAAAAAAAACCAAAACCAGAGCATAGAGGGAAAGCTAGATTCAAAACCAAGCAGCTAGCAAAAAAAATAAAGAAGCAAGCAAAAGGGACATTTCAACACCCCACTAAACTGCTAAGACAGCCAGTGTAACCCATACATAACAGGAAGACAAAAAAAAAATGTTGTTTCTTTATGACTCTCAAGTTCTCAGATGAAAGTTGTCTCGGGAGATAGGTATTCCAGTGTATTTCCACGCGCTACGGAAGAAAACCAGAGGACACGTAGGAATGGAACAGTCCCACCCACACGCCGTAATGCCAAAGGACCTAAAAACCTACCCTGAAAAATCATCCCATCTTCTATGACGGAATAGCGCATTCTCCACACCGTGCAGACAGAACCCCCACAAAAGCCCTGGCTATGCTGGCTTCTGCCCAGCCCAGCCCCAGTCTCCAGTGTCCAGCTGGAGCTTTGACATACACCCCCCC